TCAAAGGAGAGCTCAATAGAAATGTAAGGAAAACAGGTTCTGTGATGTTTCCTCTACATGCGTCATCTCTTTCATCAAGCCATAGTTGGATCTCAAACCATATTGTCAAAGAAATACGTCCTTTGTGTCCTAAATCCTCAGGAGAATAAAAACTTGGTGTCTTTAAGTTCTCACTTTAAGGGATATTGTGACCCTTTGCCCCTCTGACTTGTTCTTGTTCTTACTTGGATGCACCCAACTCTATCCTAGAGAGAAAGCAACTAGTGAAGCAAAACAGAAAATGAATTATGGTGTGCATGCAGTTGCTTAACAAACTTGTCATCTGTGTTGATTTTCATTTAGCAAGGATGATTATTCTCACCTGGATTTCAGGAAAAATACAGTTAAGTGTTGCTGCCAGTTGGTGAGGAAAATGCAGCTAATTCATTATGACTTCTTTGGTTGCCGTTTGTATTCCAACCCTCCTTGGGAACTTGGAGGGTTACATACACTCCACATTGTGCCAGGTTGGTGGTTCTGAAAGTCTTTTAAAAGTCCCTACTTCTTCCACACTTGGCCAAGAGTCAGGCATTTGCACATTGTAGGTTGTAGCTGAATTAGTATCTGCAGGTAGTAGGGAGGTATAAAATTGTCCTGAATGGCCTGGGTGCTTGTATATCAGAGGTAAGATAAACCTGGCACAGATATCCCTGTAGAACGGGCACTGAAGGAGCACATGTTCTATTGTTTCTACATGACCCGAGTCACAGGGGCAGAGTCTCTCTGGGAAAGGGATCTTCCGGTAGCGGCCTACGAGTACAGCTGATGGGAGAACATGCCATCGAGCCAGGGTGAAAGCCCTTCGATGAAGAGGAACCTCTACGTTTGTTAAATATGCCATAGGGGAGGCAAGATATCTGCTGTCTTCATTGATAAGGAAGGTTGGAACCTAGGCAGATCTAGTTAGCGGGCATTTGCACAATCTCCTGTGACTTGTTACTATTAACTTGGTTTTTATAGTTCCTTACTCCATAGTGCCATCATTTAGACCAGTGGCTCTCAACCTGTGGGTCCCCAGATGTTTTGGCCTTCAACTCCCAGAAATTCTAACAGCTGGTAAACTGACTGGGATTTCTGGGAGTTGTAGTCTAAAACATCTGGGGACCCAGAGATTGGGAACCATTGATTTAGTCCAAAGCTTTGTGTTGTACCAGCTAAATCTCTTCCTGACATCCCTTAAGCTTCAAATGGGAGACTGTAGTACAAGTTGAGTAACCATTATCCAAAATGCTTGGGACTGGAAGTGTTCCCTATTTTGGAATACTTATGTAGGCATAATGAGATATCTTGGAGATGGGACTTAAGTCTGAACAGGAAATTCATTCGTGTTTCATATACACCTTACACACACGACCTGAAATGTCTGCACAATATTTTAAATAATTTTGGAAATAAAACCAAGTTTACAGCAAAGGTGTTACTATCTCAGCTACCCATGTGGACAGTTTTGGAATATTTTTTATTTTGTAATTTACAAATAAGGGATACTCAACCTGTACCAACAATAGTTATGTTCCAGATCCTGTTCTCCTTTGAGGCATAGCTGTTCTGTAGCCATGCAACCTCATTACTTTTGATTTAGATAATAATAATAATAATAATAATAATAATAATAATCTTTATTTATACCCCGCCACCATCTCCCCGATGGGGACTTTGAGCAGCTTACATGGGGCCAAGCCCGAACAACATATTACATCAAAATAAAACCAAAACATAAACAACAAGCAACATCATCAAAATTACATGGAAAAAACTACAATAACAAAATAGCATTACAATAAACAAAAACACAGTCACAGTAAACAGTGGGTGGGCCACATGTACAGGATAAAATGTTAAAAACTCGAATGAGATAAAAATAGGAGCAAGTTATTTGCAGGGAGCAAATAAAGATACATAGGGTTGTGAAACTAAACTTCCCATTTGGGGCGGGGGGTGTGTGTGTGCATGTAAATATATCTAGAGAGCAAAAGTATATTTCTGGAATTTTTGAAGAATATTTTGTTAGTGGTTCAGACTTTGTAATATCTTCTGGTATGTTATTTTTAGATGAAATGGTGTGAAGATAGATAAAAAAGTAATTCAAATACATCAATTTAGTATTGCACTGTTAACTGTTTCATTTTGAGCAACTGAATCATCTAATGTGTGTAGCTCAGATTTAGTATAAACAGTGTTTTAAGGATAATTCATGGCTAATTCAGTAAACATTTTGCTTAATAGTAACCTGCCAGCCATAGTTTATGATATGTGATCCTTCTTCTATGAGATAAACTTGGATTGCCTCAGCTAGATGACATTTGTCTTGTTTAAAGTTGAACCTCAAAATAAATATACCGTATTAATGTATTTTAATGTAAATTAAATGCTTTTACTCTTTGTGTATTGTGAAAAAAGAACCGGGCGTGTTATTTCCAGAAACATTTGAATTATTTAAACAAGATTCTTCTAAACAAAGCTACTTGATTCCAAATAGCAAACAGAGGAAGCATTAGCCATGGTGCTTGAGAATAATTGTAATTCAGGACTCCGTAAGCTTCTTACCAAGCAGACCTAAATCTCCAGTATGGCTGAAGCTTCTGGAATTCACACAAAGCGAGAGCAATAATTACAGAAGATTTCAGAGATTATTTGACAGATAAAATTTAACTCCAAGAGATCCAATTGCAGCATTGGTAGCATTACTACATTTTAAAGACCACTTCCAAATTCAACATTAAGAAGTCAAGATGTGTAATGATTTAAGATTAAAGAAAGGCTAATACCTTGCCCCTTTGCACTTTCGGTTTCCTCAGTTTTGTAAGACCATAAGTACATGATATGTAGAGTCATGAAGCAGTAGAAAGGACTTACTGGTTAAGACTGGAGAGGAAAGAATCATATTGTAAGCCACTCTGAGTCCCCCTTGGGGTGAGAGAGTGGGCAGGGTATAAATACAGTAAATAAATAAATATTTTCAAAGCTTTGTACACTGCAAAAAGAAAGCTAGACCTGGTGTTCCCTTGGAGAGCTGGGAAACTTTTTGCTCTCTAGATATTTTGGGTTTCTGCCCCTATAACCTCCAGCAAAGGGAAGGGACTTTGGAAGTCTACAACTTTTATAGGGCAAAAGACTCCTTGGCCCTGATCTATTGTGTTGACTGTTCTCATTACTGTTTTTCCATACGTGCGTGGTGGTGTTTTTTAATGCTGCTTATCATATTTACTGAGCTGGTGAGTTTCACAGTTTTTGAGTACTTGAGGTACTCATTGTTATGGTCAATCATCTTGTAGGCTTCCATTTTTCATTGAAATATTGAACTGATTACTACATTTTATATCAACTGATGAAGCATGGAAGATCAGGATGTCTCAAAAATGCTAGTGATTAAATCACTGATAAGCAGTACCTTTGTCTCTGTTTATTACAGTGAGCTTCTACCTTGTATATTAAAATTCAAAATCGCATATCTATATAAATAAAAATCTAATGTTTGCTTGTGGGATTAATATAACTCAAAAACCACTGGACGAATTGACACCAAATCTGGACACAATACACCTATCAGGCCAATGAGTGACCATCACTCATAAAACACTGAAAAACACAGCAGAAGAGACTTAAAAAGCAAAACAAAAATACATTTTAGTGCATGCGCAAAACCACACACACATATATATGTAAACACACATATACACAAATATATACACATATATATATACACACACATATACACAGACTGGGCCACAGCAACACATGGCAGGGGACGGCTAGTCTATATAAATAAAAATGTAATGTTCATTTGTGGGAGTAACATAACTCAAAAAACACTGGACGAATTTACACCAAATTTGGACACAATACACCTGTCAGGCCAATTAGTGACCATCATGCATTAAAACACTGAAAAACACAGTGAAAGTGACATAAAAACAAAAAAAATACAATGCATGCACAAAACCACACATATATACACAAGTACACATATATAACACACATATATACACATATACACAAATATATACACACACAAAACATATATACACAGACTGGACCACAGCAGCATGTGGTAGGGGATGGCTAGTCTATATAAATAAAAATGTAATGTTCATTTGTGGGATTAACATAACTCAAAAAACACTGAACGAATTTACACCAAATTTGGACACAATACACCTGTCAGGCCAATGAGTGACCATCATGCATGAAAACACTGAAAAACACAGCGAAAGTTACATAAAAGCCAAAAAAATACAATGCATGCACAAAATCACATATATATACACAAGCACACATATATAACACACACATATACACAAATATATACACACACAAAACATATATACACAGACTGGGCCACAGCAACACATGGCAGGGGATGGCTAGTAAGCAATAATTATTTTGTATTTTTACCTATACCTCCATGGTACAGCTATACTTCCATGATATTTGGGCTTTCATTGTTCAATTTAAAGTCCAGTTGCCTCTTCTAGTTTCGCCTGGCTGGCTGGAAAAACTATACAAAGACATTTTTTCATTCAGGTCTTCCCTTTGCTGTAAATTTAATAATTTGCCTTAAAATATTATCTCCAGTGTCTGCTGAGTATTGGAGCTGAATACTGCTAGCATTGTTGTAGGATTCCTAAACACTTTTCAGTGTTATAATAATAAAGACAAAGTCTCACAATTCCCTCTTATTTCTTTTCTTAGATAGCCACAGTGGGGAGAGGGTTTACATAAAAACACTTTAATAACTAATTTAATGGAAGATCTGTTGCTTCTAGTTACAATTCTGTTAGTCTTTTATTAAGATCATTTTTCAATTTTACCCATGGAAAAAAGTTTGGATTTTTGGGGTCTTTTGTGGATAGCATGTATCTTCCTTCATTCATACAATTGCTTAGGGAAATGAAAGTGTTGGCTTAGTATTTTTTTTCAGCAAGTAGTCTCAACATATGTATAACAATGTCTCTTTTCAGAGTGCTCATTTGGCCATGATTGACACCCTGATGATGGCATATACAGTGGAAATGATCAGTGTGGAAAAAGTCATTGCATGTGTACATCAATATTCCTCCTTCTTCCAAGCCACAGATCTACCCTATGACATAGAAGATGCTGTCATGTTCTGGATAAATAAGGTAAGATCTGCCACAAATATGCTCCACATTGAAAAATTTTCATCCTTAAGGTACTTAGGTAAATCAGGCACCACAGAAGGTCACTAAAATAAGTTGGCGATGAAGTTTAGATGGAAACCAAGGCATGTTCTCACATGGTGAACCTACAATTTATTGGGAAGAAGCTAATGTTGCTCCATATATTTTAGTTATTTTGAGACTCCTATGAAACAGTGATCTCACTCCATACATAATAATCACATTTGAATTCGACTGTAACCCAGAATTCTGTTGGAGTCATGTTGCCTAATTGTTCTTGGTTCAAGTGAGAAATGGTAGACATACCGAGATCAAGACAGTAATTTATTTATTTATTTATTTATTTATTCTTTGCTTATATACCGCTGTTCTCAGCCCGGGGGCGACTCACAGCGGTGTACAACATAGAAAGAACAAGGTTCAAAATTCAAGACACAATCTAAAATATCAATCTAGCAATAACCAAAAACATCATCAAAAACATCAACAATATCAATAATACAAAAAGCCATTCACGTCGTCTCATCGTTTAAACCACAATCCAGTATCATTTTCCGTTGTTCCATTCCTGTCGTCATTACCAATTATTGCACTTCTTGTTCGAACGCCTTCTTGAACAGCCAAGTCTTTAATTTCCTGTGGAATATCATCAGGGAAGGAGCCAGTCTGATGTCCACGGGAAGGGTGTTCCACAGCCGAGGAGCCACCACCGAGAAGGCCCTGTCTCTCGTCCCCGCCAGCCGTGCCTGTGAGGCAGGCGGGATCGAGAGCAGGGCCTCCCCGGAAGATCTCAAAGTCCTGGTGGGCTCGTAGGTCGAGATGCGGTCAGATAGGTATCTTGGGCCGGAACCGTTTAGGGCTTTATAGGCCAACACCAGCACCTTGAATTGAGCCCGGTAGCAAATCGGCAGCCAGTGGAGCTGGTACAACAAGGGCGTTGTATGCTCCCTGCGTCCCGCTCCTGTTAGTAACATGGCTGCCGCATGTTGGACCAATTGAAGCTTCCGGACCGTCTTCAAGGGCAACCCCACGTAGAGAGCATTGCAGTAGTCTAAACGGGATGTAACCAGAGCGTGGACTACCGTGGCCAAGTCAGTAACCTACGGACCCACCGATAGTACACCGATCTTGGAAGACAATCCTACTCGGACAATGAGGAATTGCCCAAGTAAGTGAAGTGAAGTGGTAGACATACCATGGCCCAGACTCCTTTCATAGTTTGCGACATCCAGACCAGGCACTTTGGTTGATCCCTTTCCAAACAAACCAGTTTCCCGAATCATGGTTTTATTCTTGGCTAACTACTCTGACTTCCTAGGAAAAGAAAGCCAAAGGGCTGGTGTGGACCTCACAATGAACAAGTTGTGTCCCTAAAGCTTCACTTTTGACGCTTCTGTTAATTAGGTAAAGATCCATGTATCACTGAATATCTGCTGACCTATAAAACTCTATCCGGCTCCGGTCCAGCCTACCTGTCCGAATGTATCTCCTTCTACGTCCCACCTCGGAGCTTAAGATCGTCTGGGGAAGCCCTGCTCTCGGCCCCGCCTGTGTCTCAAACACGCTTGGTGAGGACGAGGGACAGGGCCTTCTCGGTGGTGGCCCCCGCATGTGGAATTTGGTCCCTGGGGAAATTAGGTCATCGTCATCCCTCCTCACCTTAGAAAAAAGGTTAAAACGTGGCTGTGAGACCAAGCCTTTGGGCAATCAGGTTAAAGGACAATTGATAATGTTTGACTATGGCATGGAAGAGGATTTGGATAAGTTAAGTGGAGTATTCATTAGTAGATGGCTAGCTAAACAGCCACCAGATGGGCAATAGCTAATCAGAGTGTAAGTATACTGTTTTAATCTTTATTTATTAATGTTCATGTTAATTGTTATATTTGTTATTCTGTATTCTGTATTTTATGATGCGGCATTGAATTATTGCCAATTGTAAGCCACCCTGAGTCCCCCCAGGGGTTGAGAAGGGCGGGGTAGAAATGTTCAAAATAAATAAATCAAATAAATTCCAAGTCTCCATTTCTGAGACTAGGAGGAAGGTTGGGATTCTTCATCGTCACCAGAAGCAATACCATGTGGTGACTGATAATGTGGAAAGCTGTGCTATGGGTAAAATATTGGAAGGAACCTAGTTAAGTTTTTTTTCCTAATTGCCTTTTGCATCAGTTTGTAGCCATTAGTAATTAGTCATGTGACAACAGTGTTCGACCGAATTTAAAGTGTGTTGTTGGCAGATGGTTCAATGATTGATAGATGGAGTATATGTATGTATGTGTGTGTGTGTGTGTGTGTGTAATCTATATATGCATGCATGTATTCATGTTTGTTCTACCTAATTCCGAAGGCTGTGGGTGGTAAGTAATAACATATCAAAACAACAAATTAGGATCAATAAACAGACGCAAACAACTATGTCTACAGCAGGAGGTTCACATGCAACACGGCCATAATAATTCTTTTCATTTCCTTGCATAGTGCAAAGGCAATAGGATAAAGATGGCGTCTTTTAGATGATTTAATTGACTGCAGTAAGTAAGAAGGACTCAGACCTTCTTTAAGGCATGCTGGGATTGAGCAGTTCAAAGCTTTGAAGATTAACCCTATTTCTCTTGTAATATTTTTTTCCCTGAAAGCTCAGAAAGAAGGAGAAAATGCCCTTGAAATTTTTAGCGTTGTACTATGCTATACAATACAACATATGTCAAGGGTATTTATTTCCTTCTTTCTTGCTGAACATTTACCAGTATGCCTGTGTATGTGGATGTGACTGTGTGTGTTAATGTAATTGACTGCGTGGGGAAGAATTTTTTCTTGATATATTGAATATTATCCATACATTCTTACAGTGTGTGTATATATATCTATATCTATCTATATCCATATCTGTGTGTGTTTTCTGCCAATGCAGTTCGTGCCCTCCAAATAGGATGTTCAGCCTCACAACTCTGTGTGTTTTTATAAGTTCCATATAAACTTCCTATTTTATCCCATTATAGTTTGTTAACTGTTTTTTATCCTGAATATGTGGCCCGCCCATTGTCTTCATTACCATGATTGTGTTTACTGGAATGTTTATTTTATGGTTTTTTTTGTTTTGTTTTTTCTTTTCCGTTTTAATTGTCATTTTGATGATGTTGTTGTTTGTTGTATATGTTTTGATTTTATTGCTGTATTATGTTGTCCGGGCTTGGTCCCATGTAAGCTGCTCCGAGTCCCCATCAGGGAGATGGTGGTGGGGTAGAAATAAAGATTATTATTATTATTATTATTATTATTATTATTATTATTATGAGTGGGGTGAGCTTCTGCTGTTAGCCCCAGCCTCTGCCAACCTAGCAGTTCAAAAACATGCAAATGTGAGTAGATCAATAGGTACCGCTCTGGCGGGAAGGTAACGGCGCTCCATGCAGTCATGCCGGCCACATGACCTTGGAGGTGTCTATGGACAACGCTGGCTCTTCGGCTTAGAAATGGAGATGAGCACCACACCCCAGAGTCAGACATGACTGGACTTAATGTCAGGGGACTACCTTTACCTTTTTATGTAGCTTGATGGATGTGGACCAAATTTGGCACATACCTTTCATAGTGCAACATAAAATAATTTCAGAGTTATGTTTTGGGGTGATGGCCCAGGAAAGAAAGGAAGGAAGGAAGGAAGGAAGGAAGGAAGGAAGGAAGGAAGGAAGGAAGGAAGGAAGGAAGGAAGGAAGGAGCAGGTAGGCAGGCAGAAAGCAAAGAAGCAAGCAAGCAGAGATGGACAAGGTATATGGAAGAAATGGAAGAAGAAAAGAAAGAGCCACAAAGAAAATGCAAACATGAACAATGCTGGGTATCTACCCCAGTTCTTGATGTTGTTGACATATATTGCATATTCATATGTTGCATCATGTATTGTTTAATAAATTGATATTGAAATTATATTTCAAATTATATTAAATTATTTTTATTTTTACAGAAGTTTACACTTCACAAATTTGACTTTTACTTTCTGTTCTGCAAAAATGCCAAACCCTTTTAAAACTAATTCTATTCCATTTGACATTTTAGGTAAATGAACACTTAAAAGACATCATGGAACAAGAGCAAAAACTGAAAGAGCATCATAGTGTTGAAACTCCGGGAGGCCAAAAGGTATGTATAGAGGAAATAGATTTAAGAAGCACCAAGAATCAACTGAAACTATGAACTTTTTACTATAGTATGTGTCTTCCTCCATTTCTTGAGGAAGTTCTTGGAGAATTTAGTTTTTCAAGTAAAAGTAGTTCCCAACAAATATAATGTCCTTTTATTGAAAAAACTAGGTAAACTTCCTTTGTTTGAGTAATGTGGTAAAAATCAGAATTTGGGGAAGTTTTTTTTTCTGGAATTCAGCTCCCAGGATCCATCTAGTGATATAACGACCACTGGCAGTGTTCGTTTAGGAATTCTGGTGCTGTATCTCCAAAATGTAACTTTTTTTTCTAGTAAGGACTCAGTCCATTATGTTATGTTACTTTATTATTGAGTATTAGAAGCAAAATAACACAGGCGAGCTGACTTATTATATCAGTGCAAACCTGCTACCAGAGAAAAACTCATTTTGTACTGTTCCAAACAAAATAGTCCTGGGAGAATCGCATGCCTGCCAAGCGCATGCACTTGCTGTTATTCCATATGTACAGTGTAATGTGATTATATTATTGCAATAGCATACTTAAGCCTGAGGAGCATGGAGCTTAAAGATATTCCCAGAAGATATTCACAGACGCTGTTGAAGTTTCTGTGGTGTGAATTTAGTGTTTCCTGTTACCATCGAGGTATTGATATAGTTATCTGACTTTATCATTATATTATTTTAGCAGTACCATTTTTTTCCAGATTAGGGTTAAATAATTGTTTTCCTAATTAATTCAGTGTTTTTTCCTCTATATTCCTTTCATTGGAGAAGAACCTATTTGTGGAAGTGGCATAAAAAGTTACCTTTCAAATAGCAAGTGAAACAAAATTGAGATCTTTTAAAAATGGTTCTTACATTTTTCTGAGTAGACTGTTGTCATATTTGTGCCAGAAGTAAGCACTTCAAAAGAGCATTAATCCAGAAGCTATGCGTAAACCCTTGCTCTCTTAGAGACTCCAAAATGAGCACCTAAGTAGCTGAATCACTTCCTGCTTCTTCTTTTTTAAATAAAACCCCAAACATTCCCTGCATAAAATCTGCCAGAAAAGGAAAGGAGTAGAATTCAACCTTCCTTTCTCATCATTTCTTTGGAAACGTGCCCATTAAATGCAAGACTGTATTTAAAATCACACCTAGTATGAGTCACAATATAATTATTAGATTTTAGGTGCTGGAGCTAATTGATTTTTTGAAAAAATAAACAAAATACTATTTCTGATTGACCCGAATCCAAACTTTATGCTTAAAATGGGACTCATGAAATCAATTGGCAGAATTAATCGTGATTACTTGTTCCATAGGCAGGGGCGCCTCAAGAATGCTCCTCAGGGATTGGCGCTCTACGCAAATGCGTAATTTACCTAATTCTTCAGCCACCCCAGAGGGCGGAACTCCAGTTGGGAAAGAGGATCTTATGTTGTTCCCTGCTATAGCTGGGGGCACCTCAAGAGCGCCCCCTCAGGGATTGATGCTCTATGCAAATGCGTAATTTGCCTAATGCTTCAGCCACCCCTGCCCATAGGATATCACCATGACTGGATCTCATCATTACATGTTGGACATCAAACCCATCAAAATATTAGCTCACATATAATGTAATACTATGGTTGGTTAGAGATTTATTGAACAGTTTGCTCACACCACAAGACATCTAAAGGTGCAAAAAAAGAAATAATTCATGATTTTAACTGACTAGAAAAAAAATATGATTGCCCAGTCACAGTCATAATGAGATCTTGATCATACATTTTAAGCTCCTACGCTTTGGGAACAGATTATATTCTCAATAAAAATATATTCAAAAAAGAAAAGAAAAGAAAATAACAGCATCCATATCCCTGACTGTTACTCCAAGTGTTATCTACATATGATTGATTTGTCATATCTGTCCAATTCAGATGTGCACAGTGTTGCTGATTTCATTAAATTCTCAGCCTTAAGATGAGTCCATTATTTTCTGGTTCCTCCCCACAATCCAGTTTTCTCCATTTTCCTTAGACTTCATGACTAACCATACAATGTATCCTGCTTCTTTGCCATCTCCTGTATTGTGCCATTCAGAGTTAGGCATCCATCACAAACATTTTTCTGCACCAGCTTATGCTAAAGTTGCTGACACAGGCACATAAATTCAGCTGTCACTTCTGATGACTTTACTCTCCCTTTTTGCCCTGTCCACCCTCCTCCGCCCATGGTTTGCTATTTTATATCGGGAAACTAAATTATTTGCTTCATTGGAGATTGTAATTAACTGACTCAAAACTGGGTCAAATAAAGGAATGCTAGTGGGCTAAGTCAGATCAGTTCATAGATTCCCCTTCTTCACAAATAAATACACACGTTGTTCTTCATTATATCTTTAACCTTCACTTTGAGTTGTAATTTTTCTTCCCATCTTAATGAAAAGAGCATGAAATTGCTTTTGTTGATGATCTGCAAGTCCATTGTGAAAGTGTATTAATATTATTTCTATTAACCTGTGTCACAATTGTAAATAATTTAGCAAAAGAAATACCATTGACCTTGATAGGTTCTCCTTAGGATAAGTTGGAAGTGACTTAAAGGCACACAAAAACAAAAGCAAAACACCAGTCTTCCACATATCCTGTAATTTAAGTATAATTCTCTCTCTTTGGTATTCAGAGGAAAAGGTGTCTCTCAGTGTTTCCTGTCTTTGGTATTTGAGTTTCCCAAAATGCAGGGGGACAAGGTCATCTCCATTCTACCACTTCCCTCCTTTAGAATCATAGAATTGGAAGAGACCTTGTGGACCATCCAGTCCAATCCCCTGTTCAAGAGGTAGGAAAATCACGTTCAAAGCACCCCGACAGATGGCCATCTAGCCTCTGCTTAAAAGCCTCCAAAGAAGGAGCTTTCATCACAGGCCGGGGTAGAGAGTTCCACTACTGAACAGCTCTTACAGTTAGGAAGTTCTTCCTAATGTTCCAGTGGAATCTCCTTTCCTGTAGTTCCACATCCTAGTCTCCAGGGCAGCAGAAAACAAGCCTGCTTCCTCCTCCGTATGACTTACCCTCACATATTTATACATGGCCATCGTGTCTCCTCTCAGCCTTCTTTCTGCCCAACTCTCTAAGCTGCTCCTCATAGGGCTTGTTCTCCAGACCCTTAATCATTTTAGTCGCCCTCCTATGAACACATTCCAGCTTGTCAACATCTCCTTTCAATTGCAGTGTCCAGAATTGGACACAGTATTCCAGGTGTGGCCCCGGTGGCACAGTGGGTTAAACTACTGAGCTGCTGAACTTGCTGATCAAAAGGTTGCAGGTTTGAATCTGGGGAGTGGCGTGAGCTCCCACTGTTAGCCCCAGCTTCTGTCAACCTAGCAGTTTGAAAACATGCAAATGTGAGCAAATCAATAGGTACCACTCTGGCAGGAAGGTAACAGTGCCCCATGCAGTCATGCTGGCCACATGAACTTGGAGATGTCTAAGGATAGCGCCAGCTCTTTGGCTTAGAAATCGAGTTGATTTTTTTCAGAATGTTAAACAACAGGAACAACCTCCTGAAGATTTCCCAGCAGATGTAGTTTATTGAGATTTTTATAGAAGACAATGGGTTCTCCAGGAGGATTTGATATGCTGAGAGCAGATGTAGATCCATTACATATAAGTGTGTAAATAAATAATATTGTAATTGTTGCCATAAAATGAAAATGAAATTAAATCTATCTGCCAGAAAATGTTTTAAGTGGGAATACAACATTAATTACGTAGCCTGCAAGTTGGTCTATTGTTAGCCTCAGTTTCCTCATACACACTTCTCAGTTTACAACTATAACATCTGTGACCCTTCTCCCTTGATAGGTCTTATCAACAGTCAGCATCTTGTTTCTAATGGCTCCTGGAAATTTACTAAATCAAGACCTTGCTATTTCAGCTGCTGTTTGTTTTTAGTCTCCAAACCCTCCCGCCCCTCACTCCATTCTAGAAAGCAATTCAGTGCAATAATGTAGATACCTGGCTTGGAATTCACCATCCATCCACATTTGTCATAAACTCATAATAAATATTGAGATGCCATGGTGTTTGGATCAGAACTGAGTTGAACACATCAAAATTAATTCCTGTTTTCTCCATTTTAGTGGAAGAACTTAGATTATTGCTAGTATTAATCCTGGCCCATTCATTATGAAATTAATACACACAACCAGAGTTATGCCTATTGCATTCCAAATAATCGCTATAGATGTATCTGATTCAAACACAGTGACACTGAAAAATAAAAATGTTCATGTTTTGAAGCTATTCTCCTTCAACAAGTAAACCAAGCTATGGTGATCCTTTTGCAGCCATCTCTCCTTTGGTATTAGGCCCAATTGTTGGGGGCTCTGCACTGCAATCATTACTTCTTGCAGTGACTCCCATATTAGCAAAGTGGCAAATGTGCTCCGGGTTTTAGTCTGGGCTTTGAAGGAGCTGACCAACATTTTTAGTCCTGTTTCTCAAATAGCTCCCTTAACGGTAAACTGCCAAAAGATATACAAAAGTTCCCTCGGCTTTGGAACACCCTCCCTTTAGAGGTACGATCAGCCTCTACGCTGATGGTGTTTCGGAAGAGACTGAAAACATGGTTGTTCAAACAAGCATTTGGCTAATACGTTGCAACCGAATGTTGATGACTAAAGGATTGACAATCACGGACGACGAATTTGGATTGGGATTTTAGTTACGAGATGCATCGGATTATTATTGGTGGCCCAATAATTTGTATTGTAATTGTGTTTCATGTTTTTAATATGGTATTGTTCTTAACTGTTGTAAACCGCAATGAGTCGCCGATTTCGGCTGAGATATTAGCGGTATACAAGTCTATAAATAAATAAATAAATAAATATACACCATTCCACTGACATGGCAGCTCCCAGAAGCAGACACTGTTTTTAAATGTTTTAGACAACTTGCTCATCAGTTAAAATATTGCCTGACAATAAAGCTATTTAGCTGGTTTGCTGTCTTTTGGAAGCTAACTCCAAATGGCTGTGTAAATAGGCTGTTTATGTGAAGCAAAGCTGGATCTATGCCCTAGTGTGCATGTAGTTTTATACAAGGACAGTCTCACAAATGTGAAATGGTTTGTCTCCCAATACTCACCCATTATTCCCACAGCCTGTTTGTACCATTGGGTACATGGTTGCTGTCAGCATCCAAGACTGGTGTTTGGCATCATAAAGTTCTGGTTTATATGACAAGTTTTATCAACTTTATACAGTTTTATTGCTTTCACAGGAAGCTTTGTCAGAGCAAGGTAATTCTGACAAAGCTTAAATAGTTCTATCTTCTTAAAATCATTTTCTCGTGGAGTTATAGCAAAGGAGCTTAAGGTTGACAAAGCAGAGATAGTATCAAATTAATTCTTGGAGAAACCTGATTTCTAATTTAATTGATGTCAGTTTGGTCCCTTTGCAGCTGTCCTTCCTGAACACATTCAGTTATATTAATAGTGAAGTATATCTTTTTTCCCCTAACATATCATGCTTATAGACAGAATGATTTTTTTGAAGAAAAAACAACATGGCTATATAAACTGCCATGTTTTTTTTCCTTCAAAAAATCATTCTGTCTTATATAAAGATGAAATATATTAAAATAGGCATCATGAAACATTGAAAAATTAACCAGAACCTATCAACAAACAATTACTGTTCTCCAGAATTCCAGGGACCAGCACCCTATTTGTGCCCATTGGATACAAATGTCTCTTCCTTTGTTGGAGACTTGGTGAGGGATCGGCAGCCAATGGGCACCAATCTAGGGGCGCCAGTCTTTGAGTGGCAGTGATCTGAGCAAAGTCTCAAGCAAGGGGGAACAAACATTAAAATCAAGGAGGTTGACCTTTTAATGAACTAAATCCCACAATATCTGCTTTGAACTGGGGGACCTTCCACACAGCCCTATATCCCAGTATATCAAGGCAGAAAATCCCACATTATCTGAGTGTGGACTCAGATAACCCAGTTCAAAGCAGATATTGTTGGATTTTCTGCCTTGATATTCTGGGATATAGGGCTGTGTGGAAGGGCCCTAAGATAGCAACATAAATGCCCAGAGCCCAGGCAGTTCAAGAATCAGGGGTGCAGGAATAATGTAACCCATTGCAGTTTGAGTGACTCTCTTGAAACCTCAAAAAAAAACCCCATAAATCTGAAAAAAGATAGATTGGTGGGATGGAGGAAGGAGATAAATTTTTGTTTCTGAATGAACAATAACTGTTCTGAATAAGGTGCAATATCCTCTACCTCTTTTAAAAAGCTTCCCCCCCCCCCATTTTTTAAAAGAATAAGAGGAGGAAGTTGGTGCAGACACCAGAGGATGCCAAGCTTGGGAATCCAGATCCCGTCTGAAGTTTGCCCATCACTGAACTAACTAGTGCAATACATTTATGAAGGACAGGAGTTTAGAAGCTTAACTGTTTCATGCTAGACTAGATACATACTTCAAGCGCTGTCCAAAGGCACCAAATATTGTATGTATTGTATTCTACAGCCTGTCCCAACCTAGTGCCCTCAAGAAGTACTGGTGAACCACAAGTCTGCGTACATGATCCCTACCTGATACGTAATGTTTGTGATAGCCTGGCTGTACAGGGAGAGGAAATTTCTCACAGATGCTGAAATCTTGCATCTGAACACAATGTACAGGGCTGATGATGGTGGCTAGTACTGAACTACTTCTGTTATGAACCCAAAGAGGTTCCTGTTCTTTGTGCAGAGTGTTCAAGGAATAGTAAGGTAGTTTAGACCTTTGAGACACTTTAGAGTCAAATTTGGTTGTAACACTATTCATGTAACATTTATTGAAATTCAATCATTGCGGAATCATATCAGAATCACATCAAGAGAGAGCTCTCATGCACACACACATTCACCCATACTCACACACACAGGCCTTCTCCAGACGAAGATGATCAGCTTTCCTCTGAGAAGGTGTGGACGTTCCCGTTGCCGCGGATCAGGAAGCGTGCATCTTCTTGGTGTCCCCTGCATTTATAGGCCAAAATCCATTTTTCTTCTTTCTTTCTAATAATCAGGTTGTTCTGTTCCTTTCAAGTCCGTTCCAGTCCAGGACATCCTCAATCCAGGCCTCATGACTTATGGGGTACACCTGCACACTCCTTACTTACTTGACCGCACACCTTATTGTTCATTGTCATTCAGTTATGCCTTGCTGCCTCCTCGCTTTGACTGCCAAGGCCGTCCCATATCATGCCTTGCAAGAACTCCATGTTGGCTTCTTTAGGCCTTTTCCTTCTGTTCCTCTGCATGCATCCAAACATTCATTCTTTACACTTCTACTGCTGCCCATTTATTGGAGATGCTTCAGCATCCCATCCAACACCCTTCACACTCTTATTTTTATTTCTTTGATGTTCAAGGACCTTGTTTTTATTTCTTCCATGTTTAAGGATCTTTTTCATCACAAGAGTGTTTTAGAAAACATTGGTTGCCTTTGGAAGAACAAACAGATCTCTCCCCGCCTCCCCCTTCAAGCTTGGTTTCCCCAGGTCCAAGAAAAATTAAAAGCCGGGTCTGTTCAAAGTGAATGGTTAATTCCTCTTTCTGATCTGCACAGTTTGCTTCAAATATTGGAGTTTTTTCCTCCACTGTTTTGAAAATGGAGGGTTTTTTCAATTTTTTTTTCCATTTCATATTGTTGTCCAGAATGTGGTTTAGGGGTTTGTTTGTTTTTTTACCATTTCCAAAGTACTGCTGAGAAAATAAATATTTATCATCATTTTTTTCAATGTGTTAATTATAATATCTTGTTTAATGTTTTAATCAATGCGCATTTCATAAATTAGATTTAACATTGCTATTTTCTTGTGATTAGGAATTGCTACAAAAGTTATACACAATTTCTCAATTCCTATGTTGCTGCTTCTATTGCTTCACTTAGATGATTGATCTTATGAACTCTAATATTTAATTAATTGATTTATGATGAAAGGTATTAGAAAAAGCAGTGCTACTATTCTAATGATAAAAGGCAGTGCTTTGTAGAAGTCTCTATTTCAGAGTGATAACTATTCTGTATAAATATGCTGAAAGGTTCAAAATATAGCTCATTAATTTCACAAAATCTTTTTGTTAACAACTTTTTTATAATGAATGAATATGGTGGTATTCACACATTGCAATTAACTATTTTTGTATGCAACTGAAAATACATTAATGGAATACAGTTATAATTTCTTGTCAAAGTATCCCTTTTCCTTTAGCTTTTTGCTCTTTTTTCTCCCTACTGCTTCCTCTGAAGTCTCCTTCCAAATGGTTTTGGAAACTGGTTCCTGTAAGTTTTCTCGACTGTTTCAATTCAATATATTGTTTTTTTGGTTTTTTTTAGGATTGGCTCTACTCATGTCATGTTTGTCCAGCAATTCATTTCACTTCTCCTTCTTTTCTTCACTAAGTACTTTTCAGGAGGATCCTGTTCAAGGATGATTTGTAATAAACTGGGAGAACTGTAGTTTTCATTATGATTATGAATAAGTCCTAATTCAATTGACATATTATTTAGTTAATGTAGACATGATGAAACGGGGCAGTTCTCTCTGTCTTTTCTTCCAGTGTAGATCCAAGGAAAGGAACGGAAGCTTCTTTGAATTAACCATTGTGTTTTCCAAATATAAAAGGAAACATTTAGTTAAGCCCAGAAATTTAGTGGTGGTCAGCAAGGAACGTTTTCCCTCCTCAGATCAGCTCTTCCAGCTGTATAAAAATAAAATTCCAAAGCTCTCTAAATCTAATTTTCAGGATCCAAAGTGGAGTTTTCCATTTTGGCAGTATTAGATACTGTGGTAAATTATATTATACTAGCTGTACCTGCCATGCGTTGCTGTAGCCAACCTTCCCTCCCCCTTTTTCTTCTTTCTTTCTCTCCTTCCTTCCCTGCCTCCTTCCTTCCTTCCTTCCTTCCTTCCTTCCTTCCTTCCTTCCTTCCTTCCTCCCTCCCTCCCTCCTTCCTTCCTTCCTTCCTTCCTTCCCTCCTCCCCCCTTCCTTCTCTCCTCTTCCTTCCCCCCCACCTTTCTTTCCTTTTCTCTTTCTCCCCTTTCTTCCTTCTCTATCTATTCTTGGACTGCAACTCCCAGCAGTCCTCCTGATCGATTGATCTATACCTACCTACCTACCTCTATCTAATCTCTCTATCTGGAGGATTGCTGGGAGTTGCAGTCCAGGAATAAGAAATTGGAAATATGCTGGGATTGGGATGCTCTCAAAGAAATCCAAGGAGAAGAAAGTTTGCATCTTGGAAGCAGTGCATTTGGATCATATTCCTCTCCTTAAGGGCCTGGTCTAGGGGATGCTGAGGGTTGTAGTCTGGAAGAGAATGTTGATATGCTATTGCGTGTTTTGTTTGCCAGTGAGAGTAGTTTTTGTGCATGCGCTGTAGCATCTTTTTGCTTTTTAAGTCCCTTCTGCTGTGCTTTTCAGTGTTTTTATGAGTGATGCTCACTTGTTGGCCTGCTAGGTGTATTGTGTCCAAATTTGGTGTCAATTCGTCCAGTGGTTTTTGAGTTATGTTAATCCCACAAACGAGCAATACATTTTTATTTATATAGATATACAGAATGGACATGTGAGTTTCCCAAACTGAGAAATGCAAATAAGAGTGGTTTATAATCTCAAATGGCAGTAGGGATTAGCATCATTTTTCTTTCATTTAGGTGGTAGATTTTTGTTTGTCTGTTTTTTGTCGTATCAGGAGCGACTTGAGAAACTGCAAGTCACTTCTGGTGTTGGATCAGAGCCACTGTACAGTTTTCTCTTCTGTTTTTCACATTACTTAGTTCCTTAGAAGCTTGATGTTGTTCTTTAGTCTCTTGAGAACTCTATGGTTGTTGGTTTCCTACTGATGGATTAAAATAGAGCCTGTGCACAACTGATTGAAATTTCAATATAGTCTGTGTGTGGCTGATTAAAAACTGGCTGAGCTCCAAGTGGAGTTGGCAATGGGTTTTCCTTCAACATGAAGCTGTGTTTTGCTTCTGTGTCTAAATCTATATACGTTTTTTTTAAAGAAATACATATGGTTTGAAAGCAAGCTCTGTCTATCTCTTGCTGGTACTATGGGATTTTTAAAAAACTGTCGTTCACATCTGTTCTTATATATGTTTCTGAATGTGGATCTGTTTTGACTTTTCCCCTCCTCTTTTTTACGTGACAGGCTCGATACAGGAAGGAACAAGCTCTGCTTAAGCAGCTGCCCTGCATCCCATTGGTGGAAAATCTGCTAAAGGACGGTACAGATGGCTGTGCTTTAGCTGCTCTGATCCATTTTTACTGCCCAGATGTAATCCGGTTGGAAGGTGAGAACAATCTTCCTGCTTACTGATAATATCACTGCTTACTGGAGAATAATCAGAGACCTTGCTGGCTGGGGGATTCCAAGAGCTCTAGTCCAAAAAGGTCATTTCCCCAGAGATTTGAGAATAATACATTTTCATTTGATCCTGTTGTATTTTCCTAGTTTTCTTAAACAATGCCAATCCAGGATCATTGTGCAAAAACTGTTGTGTGATGAGGGGAAGGCTGGGGAGGAGTGATGCGGGTGTAGTCTGTTCCAGCAGAATCCCATCGAGAAGTAAATGCTGAGCTGGAGTAGGTTGATTCCTTCTCCAAATGTGTAGAGAGAGGTATCCATTACTTCCACACTGGTGACAGAACAGTTGCCATCCCGTTTCTACAGCTGAAATTCTGATGTAGTCTGCCTCCTTCCACTTAACTACAGCCATCTTTGTCTTCAACACACTCCTAATCCTCAGTTTCCTTTGTGCTGTCTAAAAAGTTTAAATAGCCACCTAAACTAGACCATTGGATATAAAATTATAAAATACCAAGAAAACTGAATGCCAGTAGCGACATAGATAAGGACTGTGTTTAAACATTGTGGCAAACAAGATGGCAATATCTGCTTGGCATATCCAAAATCCAAGATTATGATTATAATAATAATAAAACTTAGGGAAGCTGATGAGGAAACACAACATACAAACTATCTACAGACCCACAAAGAAAATCCAACAAATGCTACATTCAGCAAAGGACAAGAGGGATCCTCTCACTTCTGCAGGAGTCTACCGTATACCATGCAGCTGTGGACAAGTCTACATAGGGACCACCAAATGCAGCATTGCCCAAACACGAATCAAGGAACATGAAAGGCACTGCAGACTACTTCAACCAGAGAAATCAGCCATAGCAGAGCACCTGATAAACCAACCTGGACACAGCATTTTATTTGAGAACACAGAAATGCTGGACCACTCTCACAACCACCATGTCAGACTACACAGAGAAGCCATTGAAATCCACAAGCATGTGGACAATTTCAACAGAAAGGATGAAACCATGAAAATGAACAAAATCTGGCTACCAGTATTAAAAAACTCAAAAATTACAAAAGAGAGGAAACAAACAAGGACATCTAATCACCTCTCAACAAAAGTTTGCTCCAGGAACTGTCAGGCCATTATATGCTAATCAAGTTGGTCTGTTGAAACATTCACACCTAGCTCCAGCAGACAAGAGTCCTTTGTCCCACCCTGGTCATTCCACAGATATATAAACCCTTTTTCCTAGTTCCAACAGACCTCACTACCTCTGAGGATGCTTGCCATAGATGCAGGCGGAACGTCAGGAGAGAATGCCTCTAGAACATGGCCATATAGCCCGAAAAACCTACAACAACCCAAAATAACTTTATTTATACCCCGCCACCATCTCCCCAAGGGACTCGGAGTGGCTTACATGAGGCCAAGCCCAACAACACATCAAAAACAACAAGCAGTAATAAAATAACAAGCAATAAACAAAATAAACAATACAATTAATATAACTCACAAGTAGACAATAAACACAAGAATTTAAAAACCTATGGCTGGGCCAAATGTAATAGTTAAAACTTTAAAAATAAATGCTGGACATGAACAGAGGATGTATCTATTTGGAGGGTTTTAAATCAAAAATAAAGAGCAACCCAACAAGTTCGACCGTCTTCTCATGATAGAAGATGAGTAGCAGTGAATTTTTCACTTTGTTCACTTTCCTTCCCCTGGAGGAGTTTGGGTGTTTTTGCTTCAATTTCTTGTAATTTCATTCAGACATGGATCATTTTTGTCAATCATAGGGTGTTTATTAAGTAATTCCCTTGTTGAGAGGTGACCAGGTGTTCCTGGTTGTTTCCTGTCCAGAGTTCCCCTACGTTTGAGTTTTGTTTTTTTATTTGCTGTTATAATTTTAGAGTTTTTTAATACTGGAAGCCAGATTTTGTTCATTTTCATGGTTTCTCCTTTCTGTTGAAATTGTCCACATGCTTGTGGATTTCAATGGCTTCTCTGTGTAGTCTGACATGGTGGTTGTGAGAGTGGTCCAGCATTTCTGTGTTCTCAAATAATATGCTGTGTTCAGGTTGGTTCATCAGGTGCTCTGCTATGGCTGACTCTCTGGTTGAAGTAGTCTGCAGTGCTGGGCCGGACCATCAAATGCTAATCAAGGTGGCCAATTGAACATTCACACCTACCTCCAACGACAAGAGTTCTTTCTCCCACCTGGACATTTCCACAGATATATAAACCCATTTTCCTTTCCAACAGACCTCACATCTGAGGATGCTTGCCATAGATGCAGGCGAAACGTCAGGAGAGAATGCTTCTAGAACATGGCCATACAGCCCAAAAACCCTACAACAACCCAGTGATTCCAGCCATGAAAGCCTTCAACAATACATTAATAATTGTTTGTGAGTATTTAATCATAACCCTGGGTTTTGGATATGCCAAGCAAATATTGCCACCTTGTTTGTACAAAGAGAAGAGAGAAGGTGCTTTATGTACAAGTATTTATCTCATGCATATCATTATTTGTGAAGCTATCATTTTTGACTTCTTATTTATTTATTTACAGCTTTTATATTCCGCCCTTCTCACCCCGCAGGGGACTCAGGACGGATTACAGTGTACACATATATGGCAAACATTCAATGCCAATTTTGACATACAAACATATACAGACATACACAGAGGCTATTTAACTTTTTCTGGCCGCCAGGGGAGCTGTTGCTTTCATCGTCCATCTGCGACGTTGATGAAGCACTTCCGCATTCCCCGCATGCTTCCCCGCTGGAATGCTTTGCTGGAGTCTTCTTTATGGCCTCATAAATCAGTTAATTTAGCCTCCCCACACTTTAAGGTGGTACCTTATTTTCCTACTTGACAGATGCAACTGTCTTTCGGGTTGCAAAGGTCGACAACAGGCTACACACAATTGGTTGGAAACCCACTCCAACCAGGGCTGGCTTCGAACTCATGACCTTTTTGGTCAGAGTGATCTTAATGCAGCTGACACTCAGCCAGCTGCGCCACAATCCTGGTGTGGTGTTAATGTGTTAATGACTGTAGTGTTTAGACATCTATTAAGAATGGGAATTGAGGTTGTATTGGGTAACCTTTTTGCCATTTTTTGTACTATGTAACAGTTTGCCATATTGAAAAAATAGTTTGTATATATTTGGGGTGGGTGGGTGTGTGTAATGACCGGGCTAATAAAAATGTAAGTCCAGAATGGGCTTGTGCATCCGTCAAAATGTTTTGTAAAACTTTTTGAAATGAATTGTAGTGTTTGCTTAGTTCTGAACTCCTAAAAACAGACATTTCTTTAATATTGAGTATGTAGGATCACTATTTGAGTTCCAAAATCTCTTTCCTGTCAAGGTTGTCTGTTTAGAAATAAATCTAAAACACAATGCAAAGAGGAGTGTTAGGTTAGACTAATCCGATACCTACCTACATCTTTTTCATTATTTTACAGATATCTGTTTAAAGGAAACCATGTCATTGGCTGACAGCTTGTATAATTTGCAACTAGTACAGGAATTTTGTCAGGAGTATTTGAATCGATGTTGCCATTTCTCACTTGAGGATATGCTGTATGCTGCTTCTTCAGTAAAGGTAACAAAATAATGTTGCAGTATGTTTCTGTGATTCTCCACAGGAAGGAATATATAGATTTATTTGCACTGGAATTCTTGTAGGATTCTGGTATGTTAGGTGTGATTTATATTTACTATTCATCTATGTGCATATGTGTGGAAGTATATGTGTGTGCTTTATATACCAGTATTCTCATTGGATAATTTCCTTAATCAATATGCTTGTCACAACTTCCATCATTTTCTGGGTTATATATCTGTTTCCTGCAGTTCTGACAATATCAGGCATACTTGTTTTGGATTTGGAAAGGTTTACTTTGTGTGAATAAAGCTTGTGGTGTATTTTAATGGGGGAAAAGAGCTTCCTTTTGTTTAGTCCCAATGAAAATAGACCCATTCATTCTACTATTGAATAGTGAGTCAACATGTAGGCAAATCTCATTGCAAGTTTAATTCAAAGACACCACATTTCAATGTTTTCTTAGAAAAATGTTTGGCTGATATCAAATAAAATCAAAAATAGTTTATTGTACGGGCCCAAGGCCATGACAAAAAGCACCACACGCGCACAATAGTACCCTCGGAGTACAGGCACCAAAGATGCTAAACAGAAGCCATAAAATGATATCAATTTATGATATTCTTGCTATTCTGTCTTTAAATTTTATTTTTATTAATATATTTCTCCAAGACTTTAATGTTTTGATTAGTTTCTTATATCAAACTTGTTATCAAATGGTCTATGGACTGATACCAATACTTCGAAGTAGCCCAAGGCATCCAAGGGTAGCCAGAATAGTTGTCACACCATAGTGTGATTGCATGCCGGTTTATTGAGATCTGAGACAGGTAATGTGTAAGCGTGAAACCACTTTTCTTCCCCCTTAGTAGCAAGCAATGATTAAACTATGAAGCCTCTGCTTTCCTGACTTAGAACAGTTCACATTATTTAGCCATTTTCAAAATGTGGTTTATTATCCTGGATACTCCAGCTAGTTGCCAGTTTTGGACAAAACAGGAAACTATGTTAATTTAAACCAGGAAACTAATCATGGCTCATGCAAAGAAATGGATCTGGGAGCAACAAAAACATTGAGAAGCGATAATCCACACTGGTTCATTCAAGCCTGGTTTGATTCTAATTTACTGGGCAGGTGCCTATTGTTGTTTACAAGTCTAGTTGGAGAAATGGTTTGCTTCAGCCAAAATAGAAAGCAGAGAATTTCCATAGGAAGAGAGCATATGAAATCTTGGCTTGTTGTCACATGTAAACCATTTAAAGCATGGACTTTGAGGATCGACTGTAATTTTCTTTCTTAGTAGTGCTATTTTTACCCACCTTCAGAAGCTGCATCTTGTGATTCACTGCAATAGAGTGTTACATCTGTTGTAGCATAATGATTAATTTATAATATGCATAGTGAATGCAAGCTGTGGCTGCATAATATATAGCTTTGTTTCTTATAATGTTGACCATAGCCTTTTACTTTAAAAGTCTTCTATCCAAATTTTATCAATAGCAGAGCTTTTATAAGGGAGAAAACTCTATAACTTTCTTGTTTGCAGTAGATAGATAATAAAGTTGTATGCAAATATAATTTACATAATTTGGACCCAAGGGGGAGGGAAGCTTTAAGTGAAGAATCTGCAATATGAGACACAGAGTTCTATAATCTATATAAATAGAAATGCAATGTTTGTTTGTGGGATTAACAGAACTCAAAAACCACTGGACGAATTGACACCAAATGTGGACACAAGACACTTAACAACCCAATGTATGTCCTTCACTAAAAAAATTGATTTTGTCATTTGGGAGTTGTAGCTGCTGGGATTTATAGTTCACCTACAATCAAAGAGCATTCTGAACCCCACCAACGATGGAATTGAACCAAACTTGGCACACAGTTCTCCCATGACCAAGGGAAAATACTGGAAGGGTTTGGTGGACAGTGAGTGTCCTTTGGTTTTGGAGTTGTAGTCTACCTACATTCAGAGATCACTGTGGAATCAAACAATGATGGATCTGGACCAAACTCTGCACGAATACTCAATATGCCCAAATGTGAATACTGGTGGAGTTTCGGGGAAATAGAATCTTGACATTTGGGAGTTGTAGTTGCTGGGATTTATCGTTCACCTTCAATCACAGAGCATTCTGAACCCCACCAATGATAGAATTGGGCCAAACCTCCCACACAGAACCCCCATGTGGGCCAAAGCAATGTGTGGCAGGGGACGGCTAGTATTAATATAGTGGTAGTTCAAATATGGGCATTGTTGTTGTTATGTGCCTTCAAATTACTTCCAATTTATGGCAATCCTAAAATGAGCCTATTAGGGTAGTTTCTGAGGCTAAGAGGGTGTGACTTACCCAAAGTAACAAAGTGGGTTTCCATGACTGAGCAGGATCTCCAGATTTGTAGTCCAATGCTCAAACCACTACATCACACTGGTAACCATAATACCTGGATGGATAGTCTTTGTTTTTTAACATATATGAAAAGAGGCAGGGATTCCCATGGCAGGAAGAATGGCAACCAGGGATTGGTTTGTTCAAGAAGCCAATTCACTGCAGAGATGCCCCCTGGGAGGGTGCAGTCTAAAGGAAACAATGGTGCAGATATGTTGTTGAGGTTTTGATTAAACCCAAGTGTCCAGTTCTGTGTGAGACAAAGGCGTAACACTCAAAAGACAAATATGCTTATCTTAGACAATCAAGGTTTTGGCTAGTAGTATAGAAAGTTAATGAATGCATATCTCTTAAACCTCCTCTTCCATGGGAGCGGTAGCCTCTCAGCCTTAGATTAAATGGACAAACATTCTGAGCTTATGTTGTTAGGAAACAAGATCATCTATCTATGAGGGTTGAATGGAAAGTAATGTCTCCACCTTCATAACTCCTCAACAGATGGCAGTACTGGTATGCGGCAGGTACTGGCTTGTTCTGTAGACTCTCCTCTACAGTTCCATTTTGGCAGGAAACCTTAGCATTGAACGGTTATGTTGTTAAAGTGTGAAGTATGGAACCCTGCCAGACAGTTGGTCAATTCGACTTAAGCAACGTGCAGTGATTGAATTCTTGACAGCAGAAGGTGTCACCCCAAAGGAGATTCATCAGAGAATGAATCTCCTTCAATTACAGACTCGTTTGAATCAGAAACAGACTCGGGCTCAAATGGTCTTTAAATATGTAGCTGTACCCATGGAAATTTCCAGGGACCAAGATTGCCCATTTATACAACAATTTTTAATCAGGGGCTACGAAGGACACCCTGGTGAGCCACATGTCATGTGAGCTACACAGTTCCCATTCCTAGGTTGAATAGAAAAATTATCTGATGGTATAAACAATTCCTTATATTAACAGTTTCCTTTTGTCATTGTAATATTTTCTCATTTGAGATAAATTAAGGGAAAGAACTGACTGCTTCCTACCAGTTCTGCCTCTGCCCACAGCCCACCCAATGCTTATAGCAAAGGAAAATCTGTCCTTAAAATTACAAATCCTTACAGCATAAATTTAAAGAAAAATATTCCATTTTCTCCATTATTTTTGCCATCAGTGTTGCATTTTTTTCTTCATGATGTCAGCATATCCAGTGGGTTTAGTCTATAACCAGCTTTATGCATAATTAGGTCATCTCTTCCATTGCTGCTGCACTGCTCCTCTTGTGGCATTTCACTTTTTTGACAGAAAGGCCAAATCCTCACAGACATGGTATTGTCCCTGGAGAGAAGAATAGAGTCAAATTCTAAAGCAGCAGCTACTCACAATGACTAATGCGGTGAATTTTGTGAATTCAGGATTTACAGTAATGTATTGGGTTGATTTTTAAAAGCATTTCTTTCCTGCTCCATCCTCCAAATGCAGGATCCCAAAACCACTGTTGTTGTTCATTCGTTCAGTCATCTCCGACTCTTCGTGACCTCATGGACCAGCCCACGCCAGAGCTCCCTGTCGGCCGTCACCACCCCCAGCTCCTTCAAGGTCAGTCCAGTCACTTCAAGGATGCCATCCATCCATCTTGCCCTTGGTCGGCCCCTCTTCCTTTTACCTTCACTTTCCCCAGCATAATTGTCTTCTCTAGGCTTTGCTGTCTCCTCATGATGTGGCCAAAGTACTTCAACTTTGTCTCTAGTATCCTTCCCTCCAATGAGCAGTGGGGCTTTATTTCCTGGAGGATGGACTGGTTGGATCTTCTCGCAGTCCAAGGCACTCTCAGAACTTTCCTCCAACACCACAGCTCAAAAGCATCGATCTTCCTTCGCTCAGCCTTCCCTAAGGTCCAGCTCTCACATCCGTAGGTTACTACAGGGAATACCATGGCTTTGACTGAGGCGGATCTTTGTTGCCAGTGTGATGTCTCTACGCTTTACTATTTTATCGAGATTGGACATTGCTCTCCTCCCAAGAAGTAAGCGTCTTCTGATTTCCTGGCCACAGTCTGCATCTGCAGTAATCTTTGCACCTAGAAATACAAAGTCTGTCACGGCCTCCACGTTTTCTCCCTCTATTTCCCAGTTGTCAATCATTCTTGTTGCCATAATCTTGGTTTTTTTGATGTTTAGCTGCAGCCCAGCTTTTGCACTTTCTTCTTTCACCTTGATTAGAAGGCTCCTCAGCTCCTCCTCGCTTTCGGCCATCAGAGTGGTGTCATCTGCATATCTGAGGTTGTTAATGTTTCTTCCAGCAATTTTCACCCCAGCTTTGCATTCATCAAGCCCCGCACATCGCATGATGTGTTCTGCATACAAGTTAAAAAGGTTGGGTGAGAGTATGCAGCCTTGCCGTACCCTTTCCCAATCTTGAACCAGTCTGTTGTTCCGTGGTCAGTTCTTACTGTTGCTACTTGGTCCTTGTATAGATTCCTCAGGAGAGAGACAAGGTGGCTTGGTATGCCCATCCCACCAATAACTTGCCACAATTTATTATGATCCACACAGTCAAAGGCTTTAGAATAGTCAATGAAGCAGAAATAGATATTTTTCTGAAACTCCCTGCCTTTCTCCATTATC